GCATGTGGCGCTGGGGGATTGAACCGCGGTCCCTGATGCCTTGCCAAGCTTGTTCTAAGTAGGTGCTTTAGACCACCGAGCCATCTCTCCAGCCCCCTAAAGAATTCTGAGGCTACCCCTGAGTCCCTCCTGTGTCCTCGTACCCTCAGCATAACTGTGGCTGATACATACATTGTGTGCGAAGCTCATGGTCGGTATCACCTCATGGAAGCCCAACAGACTAGGGCCACATTCGAGAGCGTGCAGAACTGAGCTCAGAACCCAGATCTCTCTCTGAGCCCCAAGTTTACGGAGGGTGGGGGAAGAGCTCTCAGCTGTCAGACCTGTACGTTGAATGGGCCCTGCCTTTTATTTCTGAGACATCAACTCCCTGGCCAGGCATTACTGACTTCATGAAAATGTGTTCATACACATGAAGAGTACAGCCCGGGACCTGGTCCAGGACAGCTATGTTCATTGTCACTAGATCATGCAACTCTTTAACATCTACCCTGTCACAAGGCAGGTGTTAGGCTGCCCCATCTTACAGATGAAACTGAGCCCCAGGGGCTGGCGAGTTAGCTTAGTGGACTAAGCACCTGCTTAGGCAAGCACAGAGACCAGGGTTTGATCCCTGGCACCACATGCTATGCCAGCCCCATCCCCCGGTGCACTGAGCTGGCCACTGAGACCAGGCGTGGTGGTGCACACCTATAATTGCAGCACTGGGGAGGCTGAAAACAGGAGGATCAGTACCAGTCTAAGCTGCATAGTGAGACCCGGTACCAAATACGTGAAAGAGCCCAAGTCGGTGGTAGAGTTGCAGTCTCCCATAGTGGCCAGGGTCATACCAAGCTCTCTTTAAGGGTGTCAGATGTGGGAATAGTCCAGGTCCACTATGATCATTTTAGAAGCCAGAGAACTGGTTAAGCATTTACCATCAGTGTTAAACAGTGGTTCCACATAGGAGCAAAAGGCAGGGCCCGTGGGAAGTTTGAGGACTTCAACTGCCCAGATGCCTCATATGTGCAGGTGTGTCTCAAGCCGGGCCCAGACACCTGCTTCCTGCAGCCATTGGTCCATCCAAGCCCAGGCTTCAGAGCCTGGGAGGATTTTGTTTCCAGGGGGTCACAGAAGGACCTATACCTCAGAACAGCCGGGAGGCTGGGGCAGATGTAGGCTGACGATGCAAGACTTGGCCTGGGCTTAGTCAGCTTCCACAGGAATATTATCCTGGCCCAAAGGGTCAGAATGACTTCCTGGAGCCGGCCCAGCTCCCTGCCACAGACTGGCGCTGCTCCAGGGCCTGGGCCAGCAGGGGCAGGGTCCAGACCAGAAGGTTTTGCTGGTTTTTCTACTAGAGGAGAAACAGGAATGTCCCAGAGATCCAGCCTGGTGTTGCTTCAACGCACTGTAGGCTTCTCCAGTGTGTGGGGGGCGAAGGACCAGTTTGAAAAAGAAGTACAGGGGAGATTCAACCTGAGTCACCTAGCAGCCCAGATTTCTCAGAACCACACTGTTCTTTCTTGGAGTGTTTTTGCGGGACCCAAAAAGGAATCCTTCCTTTCCCTTCCCCAGCAGATCTCAGATTTCCTTCTGGAAGCATGCAAGGCACCGCAGCCTGAACTGTAGGGTCAGTAACTGTAAATATCTTGGCAAGCTTAGTGGCAGACTCTGTGGCGAAACAAAGAGGTAGGGATGTCACTCAGTGTGAAGGTTCTTGGTTGAATCCTTGTCTCTGTCTCTGTCTCTCTGTCTCTGTCTCTCTCTCTCTCTCTCTCTCTCTCTCTCACACACACACACACACACACACACATCCAGATTAGGCGTCAGCAGCCCCCTAGGAGCAGTGTGCCCAAACCTTAGTGCTCTCCCAAAAGAGGAGAAACTAAGTCCTGAAGTGGTTTAAAGCACACACAGGCGTTCTTCACTGATCTCCGGCACAGAAACCGCCCCCCCAGGCCCCGCCTCCCAAGGGTTCTTGCTGGGACCCAGGGAGGCGCTGGTGCCAGCTCCCGGCTCACTGTGAGCAGAATGCCCGGGTCCTCCCAAGCCAGGCGGGCTGCCCAGGGGAGGCAGGGCGAGCCTGAGCGGCGCCTGGGCCCACAGGAGGTCTGCAGTGAGCTCTGGTGCCTGAGCAAGAGCAACCGGTGCATCACCAACAGCATCCCGGCGGCCGAGGGCACGCTGTGCCAGACGCACACCATCGACAAGGGGGTGAGCGGCCACGCCCATCATCCGGGCCGCGCCCACTACCTGTAGTTCTCTGCTCTCGCTGATACATGCCGCTGGCCCCGCCCCCTGTGCTTCGGCCACGCCCCCTACCTGACTCTCACGTCTCCCGCGGCATGCTGCCCAACTTATGCACATGTGCACCCCCGGGGCTGCGTCCCGCAGGGAGAGGACACGGCCCCGGCCCCGGCCCAGCCGATTCACCCCTCTCCACTTCTACCCCCAGTGGTGCTACAAGCGGGTTTGTGTCCCCTTCGGCTCGCGGCCAGAAGGCGTGGACGGCGGCTGGGGCCCGTGGACCCCGTGGGGCGACTGCAGTCGGACGTGCGGCGGCGGCGTGTCCTCTTCCAGCCGTCACTGCGACAGTCCCAGGTCGGTGCTTAGGACCCCGCCCGGGACACCCCGCCCCGGCTCCGATCGACCCCCCATGTGGCTCCTGTCTCCACTGTCCCTTGCAGGCCGACCATCGGGGGCAAGTACTGCCTGGGGGAGAGAAGGCGACACCGGTCCTGCAACACCCAAGTGAGTTCCTGGGCCGGGGCTGCACTGTCCGCTCCCACCGGATCGAAGCCCCTGTCCCGATTTCTTCTGGGACCCCCGAGTATTGTTCATCTCTCGGGGTGGGGGCACAGGACCTGTGGTCTCTGAGGGACCTGCCCTGCGTCTCCAGGCCCCCGTCTCTCCGCTGTGCCTTCTTCTCCTGGAGACTCTGGCTCCTCCCACCCTGTTCTCCCAATCTGTAGACGCCCTCCTCCCACTCTCCCAAACAATTACTCCTCCCTCACACCCCTCTCGGGGTACCACCCAGGGTGTCCCTTCCTAGCCCGGCTATCCTCAGAACACCCAGCGTCTGCCCTGGGTCATCCCCCGAGGCTTGGCTCTCCTCCTGCCACCAGACCCGGGGCCATAAGCAGCATCCCATGGCCTCACTCAGCTGCTCTACTTCTCCCCTGCGGATCAGGGCGCCCTCTGTCCGTCCTGCGCTTGTGCGAGTGTTAAGCGAACACGCAATGGGCTGGGAGTCCCGGGAAGAAGGGAGCTTTAGAGCCGGCAGGTGCGCAGGGGCCTTCCTGGCTGCCCACCTGGGGCCACTCAGCTCCTCCAGGCAGCGACCTGCCCCTGTACTAGTGAAAAGTCCAACACCTAGTTCATCTTAGACCGCCTCTCAAGAAAGGTCCCTAGGGCCGGGGAGAAAGCTCAGTAGAATAAGCGCTTGGGCCTGAGTTCAATCCCCGGTTCCGCAAAAAAAGAAAAAGAAAGAAAGGTCCCTGGGCAGCAGTGAGAACCCGCTCCCCCGCATCTCTAATGAGCCACCAGGCCTGGTCGCCTGTGAGCCCCCACACCTCTCTCCGATTTCCTGCCCCTCCCCCAGGATTGTCCCCCGGGCTCCCAGGACTTCCGGGAGATGCAGTGCTCTGAATTTGACAGCATCCCTTTCCGTGGGAAGTTCTACTCATGGAAGGCGTACCGAGGGGGTGAGTGGGAAGCCAGGGGTGTCCCAAAGCAGGTGGCTTCATGCGGCATCCCAGGTCCCCTTTGCCCCAGTCATCGGGTTGCTGGGGCATGGCATGGTGGTGCCTTACCCTGTACCCAGCCTACTGGTGCTGTCAGGTCCGGGTTCTGTCCCTCTGGCCTCACCTCCCAGGGGGGCCTGGTCCTGGGACTGACCGGGCCCTGCCCCCCAGGGGGCGTGAAGGCCTGCTCTCTCACGTGCTTAGCTGAGGGCTTCAACTTCTACACCGAGAGGGCAGCGGCTGTGGTGGACGGGACGCCCTGCCGCCCAGACACGGTGGACATCTGCGTCAGCGGCGAGTGCAAGGTGCAGGGAGCCTGGGGCAGAGGGCAGGGCGGGTGCACAGGAGGGCCGGGAGTCTTCACCTCAGCCGCTCTCCGCAGCACGTGGGGTGTGACCGGGTCCTGGGCTCCGACCTGCGGGAGGACAAGTGCAGAGTATGCGGCGGCGACGGCAGCGCCTGTGAGACCATCGAAGGGGTCTTCAGCCCAGCCCTGGTGGGGGCCGGTGAGAGCCCCCCACTTGCTTGCATACTCCCCACTCAGGCTCAGAGCTGGGGGCCAGGACCAGATTAGCCAAGATCAAGACTACAGTGACCCCATGGCATCAGGGTTAGGATTAAAGTTGAGGTTTGGCTGTCAGGGACCCCAAAAGTCCCAGAGCAGGATTGGGGTGGAGAGAAGGGGACAAGCCTTGAGAAGCTGGAAGCACTGAGGTGTGGGTCCCTCGGCAGGGACCATTCCTAGACTTCCAGGGCAGGGTCCAGAATGTGGGCTTCACCGCCAAGGCAGGTCCCGTTGAAGTACTTAAGGGGCATCCTGATAGCTGGTGTCAAAAGGAAGATAAGGGGCCGAGGAGATGGCTCAGTAGAATAAGTGCTTGCCTAGCAAGCACAAGGGCCTGAGTTGAATCCCCTGTTCCACAAAAAAAAAAAAAAAAAAAAAAGAGGGAGATTAGGGAGGGAGAGGAGGGTCCAAATGGTTGTCCTGGTGGCTTCTGGGTGGGCAGCGGGCTCTCCCCAAAATGGGGACATGGGAAGAGACACTAGCGCATTGAGAACTGAAAATGGGTTTTCTTAGGCTTGGGGACCCCTGATACCAACCCCTGAGGTGCTGTAGAGCCAGTTGACATCTTTTGCGGGTTAGGAGGTTCAGCACAACAGGATGCAGAGACAGGAAGGTGTGGCTTTAGAACCCAACCAGAGGGGCATGGTAGGGGTCCAGCTGCATGAGCCAGGTCTCTTCGGGGACACACATAGGCAAAGGTAGATGGCTCACAGGCCCAGCTCGTACTGCTCCCAACTGCTACGCTGCCCTGCATGGTTGGGAATTCCATCGTACCACTTTTCTGCCCCTGCCCAGCCCTGCTTCTCTGAGGTGACATACAGAGAGGCAGGAAAATTTGGTTTTAAATGAAGCCCCAGGGAGGACAGTGCAGAGGTGGGCTTAGCATGTTTGAGGCCCTGGGTTCTGTTTCTAACACTGCAAAAAAAGAAAAAACAAAAACTCCACCTCAGCCAAGCAACTTCCTAGCTGTAAAACCCAGGCACATTGCAGGCTTCTTCAAGCCTCAGGTTTGTCATCTGTAAAATGGGTATGGTGATGCACAGGCTCCCCAGCTTCACCCAGGATCACGGTGGGATGACCTTGTCAGCGCAGAGGGCAGGAATGATTAAGGTCACCAAGGACCCAAGATAAGGGGGCCGGCGGGCATGGGGGATGCTGAGCTAGTGACGTCTGGGATCTGCTGTCCAGGGTATGAGGATGTCGTGTGGATCCCCAAAGGCTCCGTACACATTTTCATCCAGGACCTGAACTTGTCCCTTAGTCGCCTGGGTAAGTGCAGGGGGCGGGGGGTGAGGATTCCAGAAAGTTATGGAGGCCCTGTGTTGCATCTGATCCCTGTGCTGTTGGTCCCCCAGCCCTGAAGGGGGACCAGGAGTCCCTGCTGCTAGAGGGACTGCCCGGGACTGCCCAGCCTCACCGCCTGCCGCTGGCTGGAACAACCTTTCACCTGCGACAGGGGCCAGGCCAAACTCAGAGTCTAGAAGCCCTGGGACCCCTTAATGCGTCTCTCATCGTCATGGTAACGGCGAGGAGGGGGGCAGATGGGGAGAACCCTAACCCTGTGAAGACCCTGTGAGACCTCACCACAGGCTGTTCCCCACACCTCCAGGTGCTGGCCCAGACAGAGCTGCCTGCTCTCCGCTACCGCTTCAACGCACCCATCGCGCGGGACACGCTGCCCCCTTACTCCTGGCACTACACGCCCTGGACCAAGTGCTCGGCTCAGTGTGCTGGTGGTGAGGCGGGGCCGTGGGGGGGTGGGGCACGGGTGCTCAGGCTGAGGCTCCCCGGGCAGAGCAGGGCTGAGCAGACCTTTCCCCTCCCCCAGGCAGCCAGGTGCAGGTGGTGGAGTGCCGCAACCAGCTGGACAGCTCGGCCGTGGCCCCCCACTACTGCAGTGCCCTCAGCAAACTGCCCAAGAGGCAGCGCGCCTGCAACACGGAGCCCTGCCCGCCCGAGTGAGTACCTGGCACAGGCGCGAGATGGAAGCGGAGTGCTCCGGGGAGGGTGTGGGACTAGGATCAACACAGGGTTGTATTGGGGTGACAGCAGTCCAAGTGCTTTAGGGTCAGGGCCATTGTGGTCCCCTAGGCTGAAGGATTCTCTGCGGTCACATGCACCCTGGCGTCCCCAGCCAAGGGCCCCCTGAAGGAAACCTAGCCTGCCTGGCACTACTTTCTAAAGGACACCGGTTGGGGGAGGGTGAGCAGGCTGGTACCGCGGGCGCCCGGGTCTAGGCCCCCTGTGCTCATACCGCCCTCCTTTCATGCCCACAGCTGGGTTGTAGGAAACTGGTCCCGCTGCAGCCGCAGCTGTGACGCGGGCGTGCGCAGCCGCTCCGTCGTGTGCCAACGCCGCGTGTCGGAGGCCGAGGAGAAGGCTCTGGATGACAGCGCCTGCCCACAGCCGCGCCCGCCGGTGCTGGAGGCCTGCCATGGCCCAGCCTGCCCTCCCGAGTGGGCAGCCCTGGACTGGTCTGAGGTCAGCTCCCACACCCTCTGAGCAGAGAGGGGACAAGACAGCACACCACCTCAAGGGGTCGCTATGCCCCTCCCCTTCCACGTGGCCGCTCTCTAAACGTGAACCCCTCCTCCACCGCAGTGCACCCCCAGCTGTGGGCCAGGCCTCCGTCACCGCGTGATCCTCTGCAAGAGCGCAGACCACCGAGCCACCCTGCCCGCTGCGCACTGCCCGCCCGCAGCTAAGCCACCGGCCACCATGCGATGCAACCTGCGCCGCTGCCCTCCCGCGCGTTGGGTGGCCAGCGAGTGGGGCGAGGTAGGTGGGCACCCACGGGGACCCGGGCAGGTGCGGGTGACAGAGCCGCTGCTCAGCCCACGTTCCCCACAGTGTTCTGTGCAGTGCGGCCTCGGCCAGCAGCAGCGCTCCGTGCACTGCACCAGCCACACGGGGCAGCCGTCGCGCGAGTGCACCGAGGCCCTGCGGCCATCTGCCACGCAGCAGTGCGAGGCCAAATGTGACAGCGCGCCGGCCGGGGACAGCCCTGAAGGTAAGTGGAGGGGCCAGGGGTGACGCGCAGGGTCCTGCAATGTGCCTTGTAGCCCGGTATAGGAAAGGGCACTGCTTTTCTTATCAGCTAGTTGGGCTGCTGGGATTGAAGCCAGGGCCTTCACACTGAACTGCACCCCCAGGCCTTGTAAATGTTGGTTTTCTGTTTTTGTTTTTAATTTTGAAAGAGTCTAAGACGCGATATTCTCGGACTTATTATGGATGTTAGTCTCTGTGTCTATTTCCGGTACATTACACTTGTGCTTGCCAGGCAAGCGCGTATTCTACTGAGCTATCTCCCTGGCCCTAAGGCACTAAATTGCCCACGCTGGCTGGAACTTGTGAGCCTCCTGCCTCAGCCTCCCAGGGTACTACGCCAGGCAGGTATTCTGTTTACTAAAAAGAGAAACTTGTGAGCTTTGTAGCTCCGAAGGCGAAGTCTGCTCTGGATGCTGTGAGAGGATCGATGAACAGCAAATGCTTTTCCTGTTAACACTATGTGGGAGTAAGCCCCAGGCCCTGACACTCTCCTCAAAGAGCCCAACTACATAGATACTATTGTAAGCCCCGTTCACAGTTAGGCACCCTTGCTGGGAGGAATGCTAAGACCCGATTTCCCCTCTTTTTGCTCCCCCCACCCCCAGAATGCAAGGATGTGAACAAGGTCGCCTACTGCCCCCTGGTGCTCAAATTTCAGTTCTGCAGCCGATCCTACTTCCGCCAGATGTGCTGCAAGACCTGCCAGGGCCGCTAGGGGGCGCGTGGTGCCTGGAACCGCAGCTGAGTGCAGGCTAAGGGCGGGAGCCAGGAGTGGAGGCTGAGATGCAGATACCAGTTATTTATTGGGGACCCCTGCAGGGCCCCTGGCTGGGAGGCAGGGAGGGGCTAGCACATCCAGGGCCCCTCTTCAGCCTCGTGCCCAGCACGTGACCCCCCTCTAGATGGGTCTGGGGACAGCGATTAGCAGGGCGCCCCTCGCACCCCAGCCCTAGGGAGTCCCCAGCAGCCCTCCACCCTTTGTTGGAATCTACTGTGAAGAGTGGGGTGGGGAGGGGGTCTGCCAGTGCTCTGCCCCCAGCACGAACTGACGCCCACTCCGAGCTGGGGAAGGGGCCGTGTCTGCGATGGGGTAGGGAAGCTGAGCACCACCTCCCTGACCCCCCCAACCTCTGCCCAGCCTGCCCCAGGGGGACCCCAACATCCGGGCCACCCCCATCATGGTGCTACAAGCCCTGCCCTGGGGCCCACACACTCCTCGCGAGAAAGCCCTACATCAATAAAGTTCTGTCTCGTGTAGCTTTGCGCGTGTGCTGGTGTGTGTGCGTCCTCGTGCCTCGTGCCCGGCCCTCACGAGTCACACCCAGGAGCCCTGGCGGACTAGTGCCAGCGCAGATGTGAACTCGATCATTTCATTCCAACAGCACAGCTTCTCACAGAGGCCCCTAAAACCTCTCTCCTCTGACCCCCCTTCCCAACAAGGTGGGGCTCCCCTGCCTGCTGATGCACCTCTGGGGGGGGGGGGTGGCAGTTCTAATTTTTAGTTTGATCAGTCTATGTTTGTGGTGCGCAGTGACTGCGTGCACATGCGCATAAGGCACCTCCATTCTTACTCCCCAACCTCTCTCCCACCCTCCATAGCTTGATGCCCTTTCCGTTTGTGAAGGTCTGCCTCCGTTTCCTGCCACCTAGCTTATGTTTTCTCTTTAGGTTATACCCTGGGTTTCTCATATAAAAGGAACCATGCCATATTCTGGCCTGTGTGTCTGGCTCATTTCTCCCAGTGTGGGCTCAAGGTGGACTCATTTTCCTACAAAGGACTCAGGCTGATCTTCATGGCAGAGTAGCTCCCTGGTGTGCCCCTCGGTACATTTCCTCTATGCATTCATCCGGCGGTGGACGTGCACGGCTGCTTCCAAGGTGTAGCTGTTAAGAGTTGTGCTCCTTGGGAGCTGGTGAGATGGCTCAGTGGTCTAAAGCACCTACTTAGAACAAGCTTAGCAAAGCACAGGGAACACGGTTCAATCCCCCAGCACCACATGCCAGCCAGCCCCGCCCCCTGGTGGGCTGAGCTGGCCACACACACACACACACACACACACACATAAATTAAAACAGCTCCTGTACCTCAGATTGTAGAACCTTTGTCAGTGTCAGCCATGTGGATGAGTCACGGCCTGAGAGAAGTTTTTCTCTCCAGGTGACTCTCCTTAGGCACACTACATCATCAATCACTTTCCTCTTTGGCCCCATAATCTCCTTGATCAGAAAATTTGGGACACTACTGAGTTACATGATGTTACAGTACAAGTTCTCATATGTCCTGAGTCTTAATGACCTTGGAAGGCTGGGGCCAAAATGTTGGCTTTCCTGGTGGCCCTCCTTTTTCTCTAATTTTGGTCTGCAAACTTAGGTTGTTAATCCTCCAGAAGACAAGCTTATTGTTATTACCATACAACTCAGGCTGTTAAGCTTGACCTCACTATCTGTCTGAATATCAAACATCTTAGGCATAACATGGAACAGGTATTTTTCATCAAGTATTGATATGTTGAACTTTAAGTCCCTACAGAATATGATGAAAAAACATTTAAAAAATTAAAATATATTTTAAAAATAGGCATAAAGAATTATATAATTCTTATGTTTACACATACGTCCAAAAATCTCACCATATACAACCTTGAAGCAGGACAGTCCCACAATATTCCTTTTCCTATCTCTTGCTTTCATTCACCACCCCCTTCTTTTTGAACAATCATCTACCTGAGAGACAGCACGGCAGCAACTGGCACGTCATGACAAGCATCCTGTATTCAGAAGACCAGAATGACAGGCACTCCAAGCATGAACCTACTATTACAGATTACCATCTGCAGTGCAGTTGCTTAGTTCACAGGTATCAATATATATAGTTAGTCAGGGTGAGAATCTTTCCAATTAACTGCTAGATTCAAAAATCTTCTGAAGATTCTCAGGATCATTGCCTTGCCCATCTTCTCCATATAACTGTATGGCTTGACATTGTCATGTTTCCGAGCTCTTCTTGCTCTCTTTTCATTGTCTTCCAAAAGCTACAACTCTTGTACACAGGTCTTGCTTTATCTTGGTCTTAACCATCCAGCAGAAAAGTATAAAAACGAAGTATAAGAAGTAAAGCCTGGTGTTATGTTGAGCTGTGGGGGACTTAGGTCAATAATTTCTGACATTGCCAGTGAAACAGAAGACCCAATACTATTATGGACTACTGGACTCTTTTAGAATATTTTGTTGAGTTAACACACCTATAATATTCAAATAATGGAACTAAACAAAAAAAGGGGATACAGATGAATGTCCATTTTGTATCTGTGTATCCAAAATGGTTAGGATAGATATATAGTTACATTCTCTTAATGAATAGAGGGATTTGTTCTAATAGTGTTTGTAAATAGGATATCATGTCCGCATCTTGTACAGCAGTTAACCACTAGGAAGAGAGTATGCAATGTGTTAATTATTGAAACTGTCCTACCAATTTGATTTGAAACTGTCTCATTGCTATTTGTTTCTCAATAAAATTATGGGGAAAAAAAAAAAAAACAGTTGTGCTCCTGGGGCAGACCAGATAGCTCAGCGGATTAAAGTGCCTGCTTGGGCAGACTCAGGAACTGGGGTTCGATCCTAAGCAAGCTGTGCCGCCCCCCTCCCTGGGGCGTGCTGAGCCCTCGCCTGATGCTGGGCAGGTGGCACACACCTGAAATCCCAGCGCTTGGGAGGCTGAAAACAGGAGGATCACTATGAGTCCGATCTGTGTAGTAAGACCCTGTAGACCCTGTACTAAACACATTTAGAAAAAGAATTGTGCTGCTGTAAGCATGGGTGGACATGGATCGCTGTAATGTGTCTTTAACTGTTTTGAAGACACCTAAAAGAGGAATAGCTGAGTTGAGCAGAATTTCCAGAGGCAGCTTTTTAGGGGAATCCCCACACTGATTTCCATAGTGATTGTACTAAGTTACAGCCCCCCTCAACACACTGCTGCCCTTCGCACAATTCAGCCAACTTGCGCAAGAAATTCGAGATAGGCTCCTACCCAGAAGTGGCCACTAGGAGGCGCTACGTCTGAAAACCTCTAAGAAGATGTCCCTAAGCTGGACATCCCGGTCCTCAGGCCTGGACCAACAGTGGGTGTGAACACAGATTCTTGGCCGGCCCTCCCAGGGCCAGTGCTGCCACGACCACCTACTCCATTGGTGCCCGGGGGCAGGGGGAATGATCTCCGAGAAGCCCTTTCCTCAAATGTCATCGGGAGACGTTGAAGATCAAAACACTGGCAAGCCCGCCACGGTGGCCACGCGCGTCATGCCAGCACTTGGGAGGCTGAGGCAGGAGGATCACCAGGAGTTCCAGGCCAGCCTGGGCTACATAGTGCATTCAAAGCCAGCCTGAACCACATGACAGAGACCCTGTCCCCAGCGCCCCATCGGCCCAAATGGGTGACACCTGGCGCATCTGCGCTGGTACAGCTTGAGTCCCCGCCTGCTCTGCAGTCAGAAGATGGGAAACCAATTCATGGGAAGGAGGCAGAGCTGTGGGTGCTCGTCCAGGGTTGGCAGCCACAACACCGGCAGAGGCGCTGTGCCCAGGGAGCTCCCTTCCTTGCAGTGGAACAGAGGCGTCTCAGCGACCCCTGCAGAGAGGCGGCCAGGGGCCAGGGCTGCGGGGGGCGCAGAAGGGGCGTCCTGGGGTGTCCGGCACTCTCCCGCCTCCCTGTTGAGGCTCCAAGGCCCAGCAGCCCGCAGCCCTGCACCACCTGAGGGGCTCAGCTGCCTCCCCGCCCTCCCTGGGGCCCAGCTTCCCTCCCCCGCGGCTGCGGCCACTCCCGTCAAAGGAAGTGAGAGAGAGGGGCTGTTGAAGGAGGAACTCCGGCCCAGCCGCCCAGGACCGCAGCAGGGCCATGCCCGCGCCACCCCCATAGCCCCTGGAGTAACCTGGTGCTCGGGACCGGTTGCCAGCCCACGCCATGGTGAGTTCCCCGGGGGCTCTGGGAGTGCAGAGATGGCCACCCTCGGGGTGGGCTGGTGGGAAGGACAGGGACCCTCTGGGGCCCTTGGGGCTACTAGGTCCGACTAGGGTCCCAGGGTGACATGAGACCAAGAATGGAATGGGCCTGGGCAGACAGAGGTGGCCCTTCTGGAGTTCGGGGACCCCGTTGCCCACCCAGCTGTTGGCTTCAACTTGCAGAGATGTCGTACCTGGTAGTGGTTCTGGATGTGGAAGCTGTCCTTGGGGGTGTCCCGAGCCCACTGTGGGAGGAGAGCTGCGTCCAGGCAGAGGCAGGGACAGCGGCTGTGTGCGGTGGTTGTGGTCATGAGGCTGCGCTCCTGCCCCCGCCTCTGATCCTGCACCCCAGGGGTCTGTGATAGTGACCAAGAGGGAGGCACTGCAGCCAGAGGGGGCCCCATGGCTGCCATAGTGGCCTGCACAGCCCTGCCTCTGCAGGACACTTCGGCTTTCAGTGTGTGTCATCTGCGAGGCGGACGCTGGCGTGTGGCTAGGACAGGGACGGTCGCAGGCTCTCCGCGGTTTCAGCTGAGCAGGGTGGAGGCGGAGGTGCAGCGGAGGTGCTGGTCTGAAAGAGAAGATCTTTCCAGAGCTAGTCAAGGTCCTCTTGGGGTGACTCACAGACCCCAGACCATCAGGGGACTTGGGATGGGAAGCCGACAGCCCAGAGCCATGCAGGGAGGAGCAGGAGCTCAGACGGGCAGGTGTGGATCAAAGGGCGTAGGACGCGAGTTCCTCCTGGAGAGGAAAGAGCCCCAGAGAGTGTGTGAAAACCTTCATCCACAGCGTGCTTGGCGTTGAGGAGAGAGTGGCTGTGGAACAAGAGAGAGGGAAGGAAAAGGAAGAAAGGGAGGGAGAGAGAGAGAGAGAGAGAGAGAGAGAGAGAGAGACATTGTGGTGCACACCTGTAATCCCAGCACTCGGGAAGCTGAGGCAGGAGGATTGCTGAGGGGAGCCTGAGCTACAAAGTGGGCTCAGGGTCAGTCTGAACTACACAGAGAGAATGTCTCAAAAAGACAGGAAAGACAGAGAGAAGAGAGAAGAGAAAGGAAGAACAAGAGACACAGGAAAGTGGAGAGGGAGGGAAGGGGACTGCGACCTGCCCCGGTGTCTGGGGCTGGCACCCTGGAGGCCTGTGCTCTCCAGCCAGAGCTGCTATGGCAGGAGGTCCACGCACTGCAGGATGAAGCGGTGGGATAGGAAATGCCCCGTCCTCTTTCCAGGACATTCTTCATCCGTGTGTTTGAGTTACG